CAATTCTTCTTAATATTTTTTTCGAAAATGTATAATAAATAAAACATATATTTAACACTACATTTAAACATAAGAATTAAGTACGACATATGCTTATCGTTTTTTTAAAAGTTTTATAAAAATCAGTTTACTTAAATGATCAAACGTGTACGATTAGTTATTTGATAAATATATTTATCTAACAGTAAGATGAATAATTTATAAATAAATGTAATATGTTATATAGCTCATTACTATATTTTTTAGTTTATGCACATTAATATTGGATGTATTTTTTTCTCTCTCTACTTTATATTCTCAACAAAAAATGAAAATGATCTGATTTGTGTTATTTTTAACCTTTTTCAATTTCATATTAAAAAAATATATTGACCGTCTACAATTAAAAGGTTTTTTTGTAATATGCGTAAATTACTGTTACATTAAAAGTAAGATGTATGCCTCCGAACAACCACTTAGAAAATAAACCCATTTGAAATTGATAGTTGTATATCATATATCCGCAGAACAAACAGGTACAATGCGTTTCGTCTGAGGTTTAAAAGATAGGGGAATTGTTCCTCTATGTCTATGCTCTCTCTGTGCATGTAAAATTGTTGCTGAAAAAGCGCATTGAGGTCGACCCCCGGAAAAAGGACATCTGGAATTTCCTTTTTTATTCTGGAACGCATTTTAATTGTTTTCACCGAGCATGCTGTTCAAAAGCAGTGTTTACAAACAATGGCGGCATTGACATCTATAATTAACAGCATGCGATTCCTAACCATGTTTTCGAATTTGCCAATGATCATATTACATGTCACAAAAACAAATTTCATGCTGAAAATGCATTTTAAAGACAACCAGACATTTAAATCCACAATAGTCACTATATCCATGAAATCCTCCCTGGCCAGCTGTGGCTTAGTTTAGTGTGGTGTGCTGCCTAAAGTATTTGTACCAATGAGATGAAAATGAGATGATCAAGCGTGGGTGGATACAGACCGGTATTGTTCAATAGACTTGACCTTGATAAATTGTGTTGGAAATTTAATTAATCCATTAAGTTGGACAGATTTTCACATTAATTAGAATATGTAGAAATACCATTAAAATTTTGTGAGACGCATTAATTTGTTTATACTTAATTCTAGTGCAAGTCACAGTTACCTTCTATGATGTAACTAGAACTGGTTTCGATACTTTACCGCAAATATGTATCCATTTGTACGCATTTTCGGATAGTGTTCATGTTCGGACAAGTGTATAGACAAAGTGAAATATTCGCGAGAAATATGAATTCGCGTCTTAGAACCCTCGCGAATATTAGCGAAAATAAATTTCTCGCGAAAAATAAGTGTTTTACAGTATATGGCCATGTTTAAACAGTTGTTTGCAATATAACACTCACTAGGCAGCTCTGGTTATATTTCCAAGCAATGATTTATATAAAGGCCATATAACCTGTTAAAAATCTATATAACAAATAATATAAACACCAATCATATAAACACCTTGAAAGAATTAAACAATTTTTACTGATATCTTTATATTTTAGAAGAAATTATAATGTATAAATACCTTATGTCAAACACTGTTGTAAAGTAAGTTATACTCCTCTTATTGTATTGCAGGTGACACATTATTTTTACCTACTGCCAGCATTTGATATGCCTAGAACACCAGGATGTCGGTCACCAGCTGTGCAAAGGTATTAAATTTTTATTGTTATATGAAATTTGATTAATTACTTTTGAGAATTAATAATTATAAAAACTAGTTGTTTGAATTTCTAACATCACAAAAAGAAGCAAATAACCAGTATAAAACTGCCAATTAACACAGTCTTGGGACTACATGTCAGATGTATGAATATTTTCAATTAGAGACTCTTCTGTTGTTTAGAATATTCTGAAGTTATATGCATGATGTATTATGCACAATTACGATTATATTGAAGAAAGATTTTTATTATTGATGACTTGAGCTGAACTCCTGTACACACATTTCTCTTCTTTTCACAATTATTGGAACTTGATTTTTAGCATGTTTATTAAGGATATAATTAATTATTATCATGCTCTAATTTGATTTTGAAAATACTAATAATTGCTACATAGTTTCTTTTTAACCAGGTTATCAACGAAAACCAGGTTATTGTAATGCCGAAGTCGGTTTGCTTTGGCCTATTTACACCAAACTTGGTGTGTAGGTAGCTTATATCAAGAGGCAGCTTTGGATTGCTACCCAGGTGTCTGTGATCAAGGTCAAGGTCACTTTTACTTAAAACAGAAATTCGGTTTCCACTCAATCACTTCTGGCCTATTGACACCAAACTTGGTGTATGGATAACTTACCGTATAAGTGGTTTTTTCTGCGGTGACTTTATTTCTGCGTTTTCTGCGGTCAGTTTCAGCACCGCAGAAATAAAAACCGCAGAATATTTCCACGTTTTTTTTTTTTTTTTAAAGATATGAGTCCTACATTATGACCTGTTTCCTTTAAAGTAATAACGATTAACGGATTATAAAGGTTAGCGGGTCATCGAGTTTTATAAAATTGCTTTCGGCTAAATATGCAATATGTGCATGTTAGGATGTACTTGTTGTTAATTATGCCAATTTATGAACAAAGAAATTCAAACATCATAGTGTTTGCCTGTACGATAAAAAGTTTGTTTACCACTAAATCATTAAAACCATTTTAACCCGGGCTTATACTGCTAAATAATCATCGTATACAGTAATTGTTGTCTGATTTACGATAAACTTCTTCTGGGTGTCCTACTTGGGTGTGTCCGGGGGCAGCGTCCTGTGAACGTTGCCTTTGCCTTGTTGATCTTTATTCTTGTTATTCTATCAATTTTTTTAAATTAAATATACTCCCGGGGTATATTTTCACACTGATTAAAAGTTGCAAACTGTCTATTGTTGCACATTATATTTGTTTGCAAGCAAACAATTTAATTGTTTGTAATTACTATATAGTTTTGCGGTGACGACGGTAAACAAAATTTTAATGCGAATATGTACATGCAAAAAAATAGGTAAAGTAATGTGACTTAGACTTTGATAAGATGAGCCGCAGAATTTAAATCACGTTTTGTCCAAAGAATGGGCCGCAGAAATTAAGTCCGCAGAAATAAAAACATGCCAAAATTTGGAAAAACCGCAGAATTTGAAGCCCGCAGAAAAAACCACTTATACGGTATATAAAGAGGCAGTTTGGGATTGCTACCCAGGTGTCTGTGATCAAGGTCACTGTTACTATAAAATAGAAATTCATTTTCCGCCCAATAACTTGAGTTTGCTTTGGTCTATTGACACCAAACTTGGTGTATGGATAGCTTATATCAAGAGGCAGCTTGGAATCGCTACCCAGGTGTCTGTGATCAAGGTCAAGGTTACTGTTACTAAAAATAGAAATTCAGTTACTGCTCAAGAACTTAAGTTTGCTTTAGCCAATTGACTACAAACTTGGTGTGTAGGTAGCTTATATCAAGAGGCAGCTTGGGATTGCTACCCAGGTGTCTGTGATCAAGGTCAAGGTCACTTTTACTTAAAACAGAAATTCCGTTTCCACTCAATCACTTCTGGCCTATTGACACCAAACTTGGTGTATGGATAGCTTATATCAAGAGGCAAGTTGGGCTTGCTACTCATGTGTCTGTGATCAAGGTCTAGGTCACTGTTACTAAAAATAGAAATTCAGTTTAAGCTCAATAACTTGAGTTTGCTGTGGCATATTGACACCAAACTTGGTGTATGGATAGCTTATATCAAGAGGCAGCTTGGGATTGCTACTCAGGCATCTGTTTTCTGCTTTGATTTGGCCTATAGACACCAAACTTGATGTATGGGTAGCTTATATCAAGAGGCAGCTTTGGATTGCTAACCAGGTGTCTTGTGATCAAGATTTATGTATTCAATTTCACTTAATAACTTTAGTTTGCTTGACCATTTGACACCAAACTTGCTGTGTGGCAGCGTTGGATTGCCACTTAGATATCTGGGAGCAAGGTGAAGGTCATTTACTTAAAATAGAATTTTCAGCTTTTACTCAATAACTTCAGTGCACTTTGAGCTATTGATTGCTGTCACATCAAAACTCGGTCGTTGAAAACCTGGTTCTTGTTGCGGTGCTTCTTGTTTAAATATGAAATAAACATCTTTTGAGTACACACAGAAGATATTTTACGTTTTAAAAAAGACTAAATTTACTTGACCAGCAATAAGGATTGTGCAGTTTCCCAAACATTATGTTTGCGCATTTTCTTTTACAAATAAGTCATATTCAGCAAGAATTTTTTATAGTTCAGTTAATAATATTTTTGAAGTAAAAAAAATAAAAATATTTTATCCAACCATAAGCATAGTAAAGGGAGGCATTTACTTTGTTGTCTTTTACAGAACAAAAGAAATGAATGTAAATCAATCTCCAGTTACTGTAAGACATTGTTTGCGTGAGAATACAGATATGAACAAGAGGAATGTTGATAGGACTACACTGAAGGCAATGAAGAAAAATCATAAAGGAGAAACTCCGCTACATGTTGCTTGTATCAAAAATGATGTTGCCACTGTAAAAAACCTTCTTAAAATTCCTGGTATATTGATGTTTTCATTATTCTTATATTGTATTATATACATGTGTTCCATGTCATACCGCTACTTAAAACATTGAAATTAAAAGGTATTTACTTATATTTAGCATGTCTATTCAAAGAATAGGAAGAGCTCACCCAGGTGTCAGTGACGCCGTCACACTTGGTTTACTTGTTGCGTTTAAGTTGATGTCTTCAAAAATATTGAAGGGAATGGGTAGAAAAACTTCACACACTTATTTTAGAGCATAATAAGAGGTCACTTTCCAAGACCTATAAGTCTAACATTGGTTTTGACTGAATTATGGCCCTTTTTGAACTTATAAAATTCTACATTATCAAAGCTCTTGTTTTACTGTCAAGCACTTAAAATAGTTGAGCATGCAGCTACTGACAGCTCTTGTTTAGTAAAATTGTTGTGGCCTTTTTATACATTACTCAATTTTTACTAAAACTGTAGTAACAGTAGTTGCTTTACCATGTTTCCATACATCTGTGTTTGACTGTTTGTTTATTGAATTGTACTAGTAAATGAGCCGCGTCACGACAAAAGCAACATAATGGGTTTGCGACCATTATGTTAGTTCTGTCATGACGCGGCTCAAATGTTCTTTTTTTACTTTACTTGTAGGTTAGGTATTCTTACTCTAGTTTTATTTTGTAACTAAGATGTTATTGTAATAATCTATTTCTTAAATTTTTTCTCAATGAAATTATTGTATATTTATGAAGGTATAAATGTAAATGCAACTGACAATATTGGATGGACACCCCTACATGAGGCCAGTAACCACGGCCACACAGAATGTGTGCTGGAGCTTCTAAAGTTTATACCATCAAAGACAATGGATGTTTTCTTTACAAAAGGTAATAATACTTGATGTGTATTAGAAAGTAAATTTGAACTTTGTAAAATCATATTAATTGTTTTATTTTGCTAAGCAAGTTCTCTTTACACAACTTCTATGTTGTTGCTTGACACTATAAATGTTTTAAGGGTGACTGACTATGAACTATCTATATTCTATAGCATAGCTTTTCACTGACTTATTCCTCTTTTTATAGATAGAAAATGCCAGTATGTGCCTATATCACAAAATAAATGATTTGTGCTGAGAACAAAAGTTTTGATGTCTTGCAGTAATTTTTAATTGAGTTTTTTTTTGGTTTTCAAGATGTTATCTGGTGTTTGCTCTGATCATGACTGAAGTAATTAAAGATTTGCCCTAATTTTTTGTAAACAGGTAGCACAGAATGTAGAAGGGTAGATTTGTTAGCAGTAAATGGTGAAGGAATAACTCCACTTCACGATGCTGTATTGAACAATCAACCTGAGGTCTGCCGTATCTTGTTACAACACGGAGGCTCCAAGCTTCTAGAGGCTCGAACTTGCCTTGGCTACACACCAATTGATCTCGCTGAAACAGATGAGATGATCAGTCTCTTGTCTTCCTTTTCTACAGTACGAAGAAAACATAGTGATAATCTCTCAATGTTAGGATCTCAAGGTATAATGACATTTTGATATATATATTTATGGTCCTGCCATAATGCTTAAGTCGTGCTTAATGTCTATAATAATGTTTATTGGACACGTATAATGTACATCCATATGGAATGACTACATAATTCAAATCTTTTCTTAATGATATTTTCATGCTAGAAAATTCTTAAAATTGCATAATCACTGTTTCGAGGCTATATTATGTCATATATGAGGTATATATTACATGTTTAGTCTTTTTATTAAACTAGATGAATTTAAGTGATAAGATACAAGGGTGTGTCAATCATGTATTCACTTTACCAGGGCTCATGCTGTTGGTCTCTGTGGTCGCCATTTGTGATAACTTTATAAGATTGGCGATTATTTTCGCATTTTGGCTACAGAAACTGGCATTATTATTTTAATTACAACAGTGTTAATATAAGTCTTTACTTCACAAACATGATCATTTATCATGGAAAGACAGGAATGTAAGATGCTTTTTATTACATTGATTGGTTTTAACGATATTCTTGTTTACCATTGTTATTATGTATATTTCAGAATCCAATAGTTCTGTAGAGGACAATACATCAATAGCACCAAGTGATATTCTATATCAGGAAGTAATGTATAAAGATGGAGAACGTTTATATTATGCCAACGTTAAGTCCACCACCTTTTACATACACCTGGTGACATTATTCATTCAAAATTACATCTCCCTAAGAAACTTACACATGATATGTCAGTGCTTGAAAGATAAGAAGTTATTGCAGGATATTAGTGAACAAAATGATCATTGTGATACAAGCAGCCAGAAAGAGAATCATGACAGTGTTAGTTTTGATGATAGTCCAAGTTGCCAAAATACCCAGAAACTTACAAGTTTAAATGCACAAACAATCAGTTCTGTGTATCATCAACTAGAGAATAGCCACTTAGGTTTGTCAAGTAAAAGAACCCCAGCAAGGAGTAGACTAGCAGAGTATCATGTGGATAAAGAGGAAGTTGAGTATTTAAGAAAAGATTTGAAAATAATAAGGAAATTCCCCCAGTATTTGAACTTGTTTAGAAATCATTTACTTAAGTTGTGTCGTTCGGAGGACTCGAAAATGGTGAAAGAAGAGCTACAAGAGTTGTTATATATCACTGAAGGTCTATTTTAATGATAAGTAAGGATATCAGGGGTGTTTGTTGAATTGTCCAGCAGTTGTAACAACTTGACCAGCAAGATTTTACATTTAAGTCATTCACTCAACTTGAACCTGCCGAATTTCTTTAATGGATTTGTCCAACTTCAATTTTGGAACTGTCCATTATCATTTTAAGGGATATCAAGATGAAAATATAAAGTTGGTCAGCCAACAGTATAGAGACTGGCCAGACTTCACTGATGTGCAGGCTGGCCTGGCTTTATTCTGGTGGCAAAGACACTTAGTTCCAGCAGTGGGAGGGTTATCAAATGTTAAAAGAACAAAAAAAACATTAGCAAACACGTACTTCCTTTGTGTGTTCTAAATTTTGCTTAAATCCTGACATTAAAATGATACATTGAGGACATTAATTACTTTGACTATAGAATGTTAAACTTAGGACATTTTCCTTTTTTGCTTTAAAGAATGATATTGCATCTGAAGCCTTTGAAGAAGTATGTTTATATATCTTATGTGCCCATTTGATAAGTTGGGAAAATTACACACCTCCCAATAATGATACAAGAGTTGTACCTAAAATTTATATTCAGTAAACTAAGTGCCCCTAATCTGTAGTATAGATTGTGATCATGCCTGATTATAAAAATGTATGTCTGAATATAGACCTTTTTACACTAGGATATTTCCTGAGATTTGGAAGTGCAAGTATCATTTCCACATGCATATTCTGCATAGGGCAAAAAGCTACATGTATATTGAAAGTATAAATTTTATCAGTATAATATAGTATAGTGCTTTGTATACAAGAATATTTTTTTAGCATACATGCATATTTGATAAATAGGGAAAATTTTCCCAAATAAACTTAAAGGATGAAATTTTATTATTTGTGAGGATTAACTAAAAGTTTAGAAGGAAGTATTTTGATAATAAAAGATGCACTAGATATCAGTAATTAATTTGAACCTTCTAAATTTATGGGCCATATTAAAATGAAAGACACTCATGCATTCGATTATGACATAAAAACAAGCAAAAAAAAAATTAAACCATCAATATTGTTAGTTTACACTTTTGATATTGAAGCCTCCATGACTACAAGTTGACCTAAATGTGGCATTATATAGAGCTTTTGAACAATTGTTTTCACACCTTTATGGGCATTTCAAAAAAATAATTAACAATGTCTCTGTTATGTAGAATTTCTTGTGTAAACCCTGAATAAAATCATCCAGGACAAAGATAAATTGGGCAGGGTATAAAGATAAATTAGGGCTGGGTATAAAGATAAGTTGGGGCATTGACTTCTTGCTTCCATGGACATTATCAACCCTTTATATTTTGGTGTTTAACATACTTGAAACAGTTATTGATGTTTTGTTGGTTACAAAGAGCAGGACCCAACATATCTTTATACCTTGCTCAACTGATCTTTATACTCTGTCCAACTTTTCTTTACATACACTGCCCAACTTGCCTTTATACACTGCCCAACTTATCTTTATACCCTTCTCAACTTATTTTTATACCCTGCCCAACTTATCTTTATACCCTGCCCAACTTATCTTTATACACTGCACAACTTATCTTTATACCCTTCTCAACTTATTTTTATACACTGCCCAACTTATCTTTATACCCTGCCCAACTTATCTTTATACCCTGTCCAACTTTTCTTTATACACTGTCCAACTTATCTTTATACCCTGTCCAACTTATCTTTATACCTTTGAAAGCATGTATAGTACATGTATTCTTAAATAAGCTTTGTGAGGCTTAAACAACATATGTTTATAATAAATGTGATTCTTTTATTTCACCTGTATTTACCTGTTACCTTGACATGATATTAAGTACAAATGTAACTTTATTATAATTGCAGGTAACCATAACTGATTTTTTTATTTTCGATAAATTATAATTGAGTAAATTATTTATGAACTGAGAAAATTCCATTTCTAACTGGCTTGCATTTTACTGTCAACATTTTTCTATTTAAAAGACCTTGTTGTTAATCATTGGAAATAATTATTCAATAGTCTAGCATGATGTTGGCCTGGCAGCTCTTGTTTATTTTGGTATCTTATTTTGATATGTCATATAATTTTATGATAAAAAAATAATTATTTTTAGAAGGGTAAACTTTTAAATTCCAATATTTTGCATGTACAAGTATTGTTATATTGATACCTGTAAAATATAAGAACCATTCACAGTATTAATCCATGTATGTTTTGTTTTATTTATATCTTTTTATGTAATCTTTTCCTAGACATAGTAGTATACTTTATTGTAGCTTATAATGATTTGCCAGTCAGTAAACTGTGTGAATTTTTAATGTTGCGCCCATAACATGAGCCGCATCACGACATAACCAACATAGTGCGTTTGCGAACAGCATGGATCCAGACCAGCCTGCACATCCGCGCAGTCTGATCAGGATCCATGCTGTTTGCTTACCAACCCTATTACAAGTAGGGAAACTGATAGCGAACAGCATGGGTCCTGATCAGACCGCGCGGATGCGCAGGCTGGTCTGGATCCATGCTGGTCACAAACGCATTACGTTGGTTTTGTCATGGAGCGGCTCACATGTTGAATTTGTTTTAATAGACTTGTCCAGCTTTCTGTTTTGGGAAGTGTCCATTATAATAGATGTTATCTGGAACTTGCACATGTGGGTTTTTCCAGTACAAACAAACTTTTTACTGTTTATAGCTT